CATGAGGACGTGCAACGCATCAACTTTTCCTTTCCCTCTGATTGGGAAAAAAAAATGTTCATTACGGCATACATTTTGGGAGGAGGTTGTTGACTGCCACGTCAGGTTGGACGCATGGCTGCTATTGGTCCAACATTTTTTTCCCCCAATCAGAGGGAAAGGAAAAGTTGATGCGTTGCACATCCTCCACAGACAGACAGACAGACAGAAAGAAACATCCTGATGTCCATCGTCAATCAGACGCAGCAGCTGAAAAAAAGAAATGTCCTGATGTCCATTGTCCCGAGATCTCTCGGTGGCCCGACGTCTGTCATGCTTTGTATGGCTGTCCAGTGGTTTAGCACCTAAATTGGTCAGCAAGATTATATCCGTCCAGACTTCCGCTCGTCAGAATTTTTCATCATATTCGGGTCCATCAGTTCTGGCGGCTTCAAATTGAACTTCCATAGGAAGCTCATCTGTACAACATAGAGGACACTTCCATAGCTTACTACCCGTACGATATCGAATACACGCACCAAGGAGGCCCACACTGATTCTCTTTTCTTTGACACGTGGGGCATTTCAAGCCTCGGGGAAAAGAGGCTCGGAAGTACTCGTGGTTTAGTGGAAGGAGGTCCAATGTAGGTCAGGCCAATCCCCTAGATTGATGGACCAGATAGGTCCCGTTTCGTTTCATTAGCAACGGGCCATCCAGGGGCCGTCATTTACCGGCCCTGGCCTCCAAACCCTTCATGACACAGCCAGGGTAGAAAATGGATAAGACTACATTTATGTCGGCCTGTATTACCTACCTGGGTGTGAAAAGGGGGGAAAGGGGGAAAAGCAAGGAAAGCAGGAAAGGGAGGAAACAGAGGGAAGGAGGGAAACAAGACAAAAAGGGAAGAAAAGAGGAGGTGGAGTGAGGGCGGCAGAGGTGGTGTGCTTAAGCCCTTAGCCAGAGGGATGCTGTTGTGCCTACACCCTTAGCCAGAGTGGGAAAAAGCCACGACTAAACCCCTCCTCGCCAGAGGGTGCGCGCCTGAGCCTTCCGCCCAGGATATGTCTAAAATCCCAGCAGAGGCAGCATCAAAATGCGGGAAAGGACATCCCTAAACCCTTAGCCAGAGAGGACAGGCACGGGGTGGGGAGAGAACATAGACACATCAAGAACAGATTCACAGACCATGAACACAACAAACATCTACATACGGTTTCAGTGTGTCATTCCAGGTCTTTGGGAAGTCTAGGGTTTAGGGTTTTTCAGCCAACACGTGGATGGCTGGACCACTTCAGCTTCTTCAGAAGAAATCACTGTTGGTCACTTCAACAGATACTCGTTGAAGTGGACTGATGGTGGCCAAGGCAGTGTAAATAGCACAGTCAATAAAAAACCTCCATCAGTTTCACATTCTTTCCATAGTACTTCAGCTCTCCTACACACACGAGCTGGGCTGTCATGCTTGACTTCGCAACTCGACATCCTCCTTGAATCACTTTCCCGTTCTCCATCCACCAATGAACTTAACTTTTTAATCGCTTGTAATTTTTGTGAAAATTCACCGCTTCCAAAATACAAAGTTGATTGCAAGCTCCAACCTTGTATTTTTCCTTTTTCGCTTGTTTTCTCCTCTTTGAACATCACAGCTGTTTCGTTGGGCAGTTGCTTGGAAAATTGAATGCACCATAAGTACTGCAGTAACTACAGTGTAAAATTGAACGCACAAGAAGACTAAACCAGCTAGATTGCGAAATTGAACGCACCCTGAGTACCGTAGCAATGACTTTGGACACAGCAGTTGGCCACACGGACTCTCAATTGAGGATGGCATAAATTGAATGCACCATAAGTACTGCAGCAACTACGTTGCAAAATTGAACACACAGGGGTACAAAAGTGACTAGATTGTGAAATTGAACAACCCCTGAGTACAATGGTAACTACTCTGGACACAATAGTTGGCGACACCAATGCTCAATTTAGGATTAAGTAGAGCACAATTCCAATTTTTTTCCCCAACATCCATGTAAATAGTACTAATTTCGTTATACATTCCTCTTGTTTTAAATCTTCTTTTTTTTCTTAAAGCACCAGTACACCACACAAAGGCCCGCGGGTGTCAGCATGAAACCCGCATCACTTCGGTGGCCGCCTACATCCATGTAAATAGTACTAATTTCGATATACATTCCTCTTGTTTTAAATCTTCTTTTTTTTCATAAAGCACCAGTACACCACACAAAGGCCCGCGGTTGTCAGCATGAAACCCGCATCACTTTCGGTGGCCGCCTATTTTTTTTTTTTAACGGTGCCCCTGGCGGTGCAGCGCCTCCGAGTTTTGCTTGTGGCGACAAAAAGCTTTCTGCAAGGCTGGGCCCATGTACTAACAGTTAAAAGCCACCACTACCTTTCTCGTATATGGGGCCGCGGGCCTCTGAATTCAAATTCCAAGGCTGGGCGGCAATGAAATTATCAATGGCCACTCAGAGGTGATTTTTTTGGATGAGGCTCTCACCTTGCGACTTAGTGTCACAGTGAGAAAGGTAGTGGTCCTTTAAGCTAGTTATAACTCACAGATATTCACAGACACCAAACCACGTTTCTTTTTGAAACATATATTCAAATAGCACAAAGTCAGCTAGTTTATACATAATCAACAAACACAAATACAAGATCAACATGTGCTTACAATGCCACACAGAGACAATTGTGCTACTTGACATATCAGACATATTCTTCGATAAGTTAATTGAAATATTCCAATTCCTTGGTGTCATGCACGTCGCTACTTATGTGACACAATTGTCTTATTAATTGACAAAACAACCTACAAATATCATTACGACCGAGGCCTCCCTTGCTGTCGCCACGAGGTTCAGAGAACGTCGAGGCTTACAACGTGCGCCAATAATCACAATCACCACCAGCACATAACGAAGACGCTCATCCGTTTTTCAATGGGTCTGATCATGACTCTGATCATCTGATGATGTGATGCTTGGCCAATGATAGATAGGAAGTACATGGGTAGTTTACATCCTCCCTCATCTTATCACGAATTTCCCTACATGGAAATAAACCAACAGATTTACTTATCAAAAAAAAGTCGATGGATCTCGGAACTAGAAAATTGGCCATCGAACCTAAAACATGCCGCAAATTCGTAAAGTTGGGCAGCTTGGAGTTGAACATGAAACAGGAACTTGGAAATGTGACTCGGCCCCTCAATCTTCAGGATTCCAAATCCAAATTCTCGCACATCAAAACTTGGAACGTTATTCAAAACTTGAAGTCAAAAACTACGGCGCGGAATCTCAGACAGCAGGGCAACGGTATCGCCGACAGCAGGAGTTGACGGAATCGTTGACGTCAACGACAAAGGAATCGCCGACAGCAGGACGACGGAATCGTTGACAGAATCGCAGGCAACCGGACAACGGAATTGTTGACGGAATCGCACTCGGTGGACAACGGAATCGTGGACAGTAGGACGAAGCTCGGAACCCTGAAACCTGTAACGAGAAGCTGGCCATGCCAATCCCTCTCCTACTCGTGGTCAGATTGATCACCTTGCCGTGACGGAAAATCCGGAACTTGGAAACCTTACAGGGCCAGATCCCACTGGCAAAGAGGATTGGAATAAGTGTCTGAATCTGGACGTGTTCGGCGCAGAGATGCAGAAAAGTAAATAAATCACAATTTTTCGCACCTGTCCACAAACACGTCGTCATTCAGACACTTGCTACAATCCTCTTTGTCAGTGGGATCTCGCCCTTAGAAACTTTCAACTCCACGGAAATTGAAACTTAACGGAATCGTAGACGGTGTGGGACGGAACTTTTAACACTTCCAACATAAGTGTCTGAATCTGGACGTGTTCGGCGCAGAGATGCAGAAAAGTAAATAAATCACAATTTTTCGCACCTGTCCACAAACACGTCCACATTCAGACACTTGCTACAATCCTCTTTGTCAGTGGGATCTCGCCCTTAGAAACTTCCAACTCCACGGAAATTGAAACTTAACGGAATCGTTAACGGAATCGTTAACGGAATCGTAGACGGTGGGACGGAACTTTTAACACTTACAACATTCCGACTGTGGATATTGTACACTGAAGCTGTCCGTGAGAATCGCACTCGGACTGGTTGCCGAATTGCTCATGTCTCGTCATGGACGGGACGCTGAGAAAACTGCAGACCTTAGGTGAGACACGAGTGACATCCGCCCCTCCCGCCCTGTCTCTTATACACATCTAGATGTGTATAAGAGACAGCCCAAGAATGTGCAAGAGCCATCAGGCGCTGTGG